ATAAATAAACTTATATAAACTTAACACCTTACTAACTATTAATAAGCAAATTATACGTTTATTGAGTCGCAGTTAATGGTTGGTTAATACTGAGAACTGGTCCCCAAACTAAAGTGTAACTAACATATTTTATTATTATGTAAACAATTAGCACATCTTTTAGTTTGTAAAAACTAACTAACAACAACAACAAAACACTGTTGACAGCAATGCACTTACATTTGAAGTCTATGGGTGATTTTACTATAGAATCTGAAGCAGAAATGTTAAGCTTAGTTTTATACATAGTGCACATACAGTATAATTTGTTCAGTAAAATGCTGTAAAATCTATTTATGCTCATGAACCTTTCAGCCTTGAAGAACATTACTTCAAAAGACTTATTTCACAAGACTTATTTCAAATTAATAAAAATCGTACTGATCCCAAACATGATTTGAATCAGTGTAACTTGCATAGATGTGTGGATTCACTTAAAGGGATAATTCACCCAAAATGAAAATTCTGCAATCATTACCCATAATTTGTTCCAAACATCTAGAAGTTTCTTTCTTCTGATGAAGATAAAGTAAGATATTTTGAATAATGTGGGTAACCTAACATTTGCTGGTCCCCATTGACTTCCATATTATTGAAAAACTGTTTGGTTACCAACATTCTCCAAATATCTTCTCTCGTGTTCAGCAGAAGAAAGAAATTCACACAGGTTGGAACAAATTATGGCAGAAATTTCCTTTTCGGGTAAACTATCCCTTTAACAATTGCAGAACAACCTAGGTGAGTGCACACAAAAACAAAAACCTGCATATTAATTTTTTAAATATTATAAATACTATAAAAAATGCTATTGGAAATAGTGTGACATTTGTATAATCACTCTTAGACTTCCATTGTAATTGTTTTCCATTCTTTTTTACAAACTGGGTGATGAATCAGAACATTTATTTAACTGCAGCCACAGAATTAGGGATTCAGTTTCCTCTTATTCAATAGGAAACATTTCTCAGTTTAAGTAACATGATCTGGTTCTCACAGAGAAAAACTCATAAAACGAAAACAATGAAAACAGCTTTAACTTCATCAAAACACATCCTCATATAAATGAAATGCTCAAACTTGTGAAAGGAATCTGTTGCTTTGAGGTCAACCCTGTGACATCATCTTCTTGGCTGTGAGAATGACAGTTCAGGCACGTAACCTTTGACCCCGAGGGGCATCTGCCACTCATCATTAATGCAAACCCACAGCTGCAGAGTGACTGGCACACACACAAGCACACATGTTCACAGGCAGACTGGCAGTCTCTGCAGAGGTGTGTGCAGACCCCTCCTCTGCCGTCTTATTCTCCCAATGGGGATCAGCAAAGCTATTTCCAGCATTGCAGCGCTTTAACAGCTCCCGGAGACTATGCCCGAAATAGCACACACAGGCTTGCAGACTGACACAGCATTCACACACAGAGCGAGAGAAAGAGAGGGAAAGAGAACGTGCAGAAAGACAGGGTGAGACGTGGACAGGAATATAAAGTGATCACCGTAGAGAAGGGGAGAGCGGAGCTGGAGATGTCGACTGCAAATGCTCACTCTAACGGTCTAAGTGAGCCTGCTTAGAGTGAACAAATGAAACTAATAGAGCACAGCAAGGCTCATTAGCTTACAACTGAGCTGTAGAGCACTGCATCTTCTCTTGCCAGAGTACAGGTATTGGCAGGTCACCCCAGCTGAAGCACTCCTGCCAGGTATCCACAGAGAACGTAACATCAGACCTTATGCAACAGTCCGAATCCTGATTACTAGGAATGGAGCTGATTGACCAGAAATACGGGAGATCCATTAGATTATGGATTCCTTGTAAGTGGACTACAAGTCACCGGTCTGCTTAACTTGAGCCCTTGTCCTGCCCTCCTCTGTGTTTAAGAAATAGACCACTAGTAAAGACTATACTCGTTCTATATTTGACAATCTAGGAAAGATGAGGATTAATATACGTTAATGCCCATGCATCCATGCAGGACAACTGGACAACAATGACACTCTGAGTATATATAATGGTACTGAATGATTTCAATATTCATTTATTACTCACATGGTACTCAAAAAGTAAAGTGTGGTCCAAAAGTCTGAATGTTTCTATTTCGCATTTTACTAATTTAATACAAAATTGTCTGATATTTTTCCATGGAAAATTGCTTAGCATAACAATTTGAACTGAGAAATCAACATACATTTCAGAATATATTTGGTTTGTGTGTAGCTTTGTATCATTTGCATAAAAATGCATATATGTTACATGTGCATTGATGTGCACATTTTAAAGGGGTCATATGATGCGATTTCAATTTTTCCTTTCTCTTTGGAGTGTTACAAGCTCTTGGTGCATAAAGAAGATCTGTAAAGTTGCAAAGACTAAAGTCTCAAATCCAAAGAGATATTCTTTATAAAAGTTAAGAGTCAGCCACGCCTACCTAAAACGGCTCGTTCGAACACGCCCCAACATACCTACGTCGCTCTGTGGGAAGATTTGCATAACGCCGCCCAAATGTTCACGCAAAGAAAGAAGGCGTAACTTTTATTCTCGCTGTAGTTTTGTTGTTTACGCCGCAATGTCGTGAAGATGCTGTGTGCTTCGTTGTAAAAGCAAAACTACTTTGTTTGGTCTTTCAAAAGAGGACGATATCTGCTTCGTCATGCCTGGAGCTGATCGGTGCTGGTTGCTGAGGAAATACTACAACTTTGCTGTGGATCGCCGGATCGGCTTTCACCGTGGAGGAAGCGGAGTCCAGCCCGGAGTCGTCACATGTCCTTCCGGACGCTCCTTCGTCGAAATCGCCGGCCGCGCCGTTCTCAAGCCTGCGCCTCTGCTCACTCTAACTCCCGCCGTTCCTCACTTTATCCCCCGGCCTCAGCTCACTGTAGGCCGCGGTGTGTGACGCTGTTTCGTTGTGAAAGCGGAGTAAAAAGTTGAATATAATAAATAATATTTTATAATAATAATATTTGACCCATCAGGGGCATAACAATTTGAGTGAAAAGTTGAACTGAACAATCAACAAGAATTTCAGAATGCATTTGGTTTTTCCATCTTTTGCTTTAATGGCAGCACCACTTGAGCTGCATGAAAAGTCTGATAATTATGTTCTACAGCATCATTTTGAGAATGATCCAATGAGCATCTTGAGCTTGGAAGCAAGAATATCTGACCGTCTGTACAAAGAGTCACATTACCAATTTCACAAATAGTAGAAATGGTGCAGAATCTAAAATATTTCGTATTCATTTTACATCATAGCATTTTTGGCAACACTTTAGTATAGGGACCAGTTCTCACTATTAACTAGTTCCGGTGTGAACTAGTTCTGGCCATTTTGGTCTATTTTCCATTTTTCCATTTCCATTCAATCTGTGCTTGTGAAGTAAATCTTGTGAAGTTTCCTAGACTAGCACACAAAATGCATACAAATCCAGTTTTTTTAAAAATCCAGTCTTTAGGACTTAACGTCTGCTCTGCCATTTTGTGACTGAGAAAAGCTGATCTGTTTGTTCAGACAGTGTCATCAATATCCAGTGTCTCTGCATTGGTTGCTATAGCAATAATGTAAGTCTCCGCTCATACGCCCATCATGATCTCACTGCAGGGCTGAACTCACAAAGCACTCGAGACAATGTAAGAGACATTATTTTGTTTCCAAATCACTAAAATACTGAAATAAAATAAAACATAATATAATATAAAAAAATATATTTAAAAATATGTATATATAATAAAATTGTTGAGCAGATTGACACCAGTTCAAATACTGACATTCGTAAACAGTGGAAAGAAAGAAACCTCATACAGTCCTTCATCTCAGTGATGACAGGGCACTCTCATTTATGACCTTGTTTGAGGTGACTAACGCGGCATCAGCAATAAGTGACTAATGAGGAGCTACAAGTGGAGTGAACAGCTCAGGTGAGATTAATGAAAACCCGGAGAGACCTCAGCTTCTGAAGGGCTGTTTAAAGGATTGTTGGGAACAGGATCTTATTGACGCACTGATATTTATTGTCAAGACCCCTCATACAACGTTTTTACAGCCAGAAACAGACACCTAATTGTATGGTTGCCATGGTTATGACATTCAAACGGCTCAAGAGGACACCGTTATCTATCAACAGGTCCTCAATGTTTTACATATTGAAGTGCTGCACATTAATCAAGAATGTAAAAACTGACCGTTTTTCTTTTTTGAGTGCTATCTTACATGTATACAAAGGCACATTGAGCAATTGAGCCCTTGCTGAGGTTTCCAGAAGGAAATGAGTTGTCTGCTCTTTGCGACTGGCAACACGCCACCACATAAACCTCACATTCTCTTATATAACCTGAGAGTCGATCTATATGGAGTGCAAAGAATGAAAATAAGCTTTTAGAGAGACAGCCAAAAACACTTCAACTAAATAAAGAAGGTCCGAACTTCATGTACAACCACAACAGGCCTAAATAAAAACGTGTGATGACAAACTCAAACTACTTCCTGCCAAAGTTGTCTGCCTATATCATTTCAAGAAAGACTCACCAAGCAAATTCAGTCAGATTTTCCATAATTCCTGCCAAATGATGCCGGTAAAACAGACATGAAGACCACAAAAGACTGGACAAGGAATGAGTGGCCCATTTAATTAAATTACCGTGGTAGTGCGGAGGGGGCATGATACAGCTTTGGACTAACTTTGGTTTCATTCATCAGGTAATGAAGTTCTGGGTTCCTCTCTACTCAACCCCACAAGCCATCTGCTTGATCAGAGCCAGCTTTGTTCGTCTTATCCTTTGGTCACATTTTTGACTTGGCTGAAGCTATGACTAAATGTAATTAAATTACTTCCACAATGACAAACAGGCTAAAGTGGAATTTGGTGCTACTATATTCATCCGTCATTCTTGACCTAAGAAATGACCTGTCAATGTTTGCAAATAGATTAAGGTGTTCTAACAGCCACTGTGTTGTAAATAGATCTTACCTTTGCATGTGAAACATTTTATATGGAAGTGCTGGGATTGCACCCGGAGAACCTCTCCCTTGCATGGCTCCCCACACTTATAGCACTGGATAACCAGTTTTCCTGGTGGATGGTGCGGTTCCTGAGGATGGGCCACTGTCAAGGAACACAGAGAAATGGATTAGCAAAGACTTCTGTTTTGGAAGTAGCCAACACTGTTACACAGATAAAGAGGATAGGATTATCTCATTAATGAGCTTCAAACCCACAACATTGCATTCACCGAGAGTAATATAATTAAATCATTAGTTAAATTACAACAGTTTTTATATGGTTTGTAATGTCCAACTACTTTTTGACAAAGCAAATGGCACAGTTATATAAAATTAAAACCTTAATTGTTTTGATAATTGGCTGCACTGTTCCTGCATTTAAGCACTGCTGCTATTTCCATAGTTGACTTTCATTAAAAGCTATAAATATGCATGTAAATCCAGAAACGAATAAGCATGAGGCTGAACCTCAACTAGCCTTCATTACATAATGCTTGTAACTGGCTAGAAAGTGTTTCAGCAGGCCAATGTCCGCACTTTTGGTGCTATCATACAGTGTGTGGGTTTGAGAGGAGTGTTAGTAGGTGTTGGGAGTTTTTTTGGAGTGATCAGCAGGACAAGCTGGCTGCCACGCAGTGGTTATTTATCACAGCCACACGGAGAGGTGCTCACACTCGCTTACACGAGTCGTGTTGTTTACATATCTGTACTGCTCATCGCAAATGTCATTTAGAGTCGTTACAGTTGCATAACGAAGGTCATGAGTCATTTGTGCTTTGCCGTTTACTAACTTCTGGCATGTTAGCCTGTGGACACAACAGCATAAAGAATAATTCACCCAAAATAATTGGGCGCACTATTTCTTAAAAACATAAACACCACTGTAAACAGACATTAAATCTCAAGAACACTCTTCAGTTGTTTATAATCTTGATAATTACATGCCCTGAAGGAGAGCAGACGCTCCACAGACAGAAATAATGGATGAGCTGTGTGCTGAGGCTCACAATACTTCAATCATTTTCTCTCGGTATCAGTGTTTGCGTGCTGCGTTTCACTTAAGGCTTTACTATGCCAGATTTGTTCAAGATCAGGCCAAGACAGTGTCCACTCAAAGCTGCTGTTCTAAACCTGGTGTTGAACTTTGAATGCAGCATAATTCACTTGAGCTTGCGTTTCTCATCTCCCATATTTGCATGCGTTTGAATGGGAGTCAATGGAACTTAAAGTGTAGTTTGGCCACCCCACGAGCATAATCAGAGTCACATGATCAAGGCAAACGCTGTTGGTTATTGTGCAATAAAGTATGGAAGCCTGTTTCCGCCACGGAATAGAAAAAGTTAATCGCAACTTTTGATCTCATGATTCAAATATTAAATAAACAGCTTCAGAATATGTAACACCTGAGTTTTAAAATACTCAAAGCAGTAAATCTAATATAAAAAGTACTGACTCTAATTTCTGATCAACAGAACATCAACTGAATTCTATATTAATACAGTTGGTACAAATATATCTACCACAGTATAACAAAGTCTCACACAGTATATTCTGTCATAGCACCCAGATCTACTGCTTCACAAAATCAAATGAAAACGCTGACTCGTGGTGTATGCTATCTGTCTATTAACACACAGATACACATGAACACATTTAAAAAGATTATGATGGTGTTAAGTAGAGTTTAACACTAAATTATTGCAGACTGTGTAACTGGAGAGGGTTATTCAATCCTGAGGCAAAAGTGTCTTTTGAGTTGAACTGGCATTCTGACTCAGACTAAGTGTGCTTGTTTGTGTGAACAGAGTGAGTCAAAGTTTTACTCCTCACCACTGCCTCCAGCAGCCATTTTCAAACTACATATACACATATAATACATTCCTCCTCAAGTCAGACCATGAATATCTAAATGTATTTTTGTCTGAAAGATTGTTTCACCTCTGCCAGTTTTAGTACAGTTTAACCTTACAGCAACCCCTGTACTAATCTCAGTATTAGCTCACCTCTCAACTCAGTACTTGACCCCTACCGACCTTTTGTGCTCTGGTCAAGTACAAATGACTGGTCAATCCACACGTGTCAGGGTTGGACACTAAAGAGAGCTTGTTTTAGACACAGACGTGAACTGATCGCTATCTTTTGTGTGTTCAGGATGAAATACTCATTCCTCACAATCGTTTTGTATTGGATTGATTTTATATTTGTATTGTGATGAGCATCTGGCTCCCCTCCAGTCATCGTCACACCAGCCCTCACATTGCTGGCCCACGTCCAGACTCACAAACAGGGTCTGTGGCCAAGAGGAGGAGTGAGAAAACGGAACAGTGTTGGCAGCACCTGATAAATATTGTCTCTCATGACCGCTGCCATAAAATCAGTTGACATCAAATAGACACAGAACAGATTTCAAAATACATTTGGAACATACATTCAATCCCAATAGATTGAATTTACATATTTTACCTGAAATGAAATCAGCAAAACAAAGTCTACAGCAGACTTATACATTTAAATGCGTGATTCAACATCGCTGGATTGCTGGTGGATAGTGCAGTATTTTTATTGCTGATTTTATTCAATTAACAGGCAAAAAAGCATGCTAGAAATCCGATTCTACAGTATGAGAGCCTTTGCTGTCTGTTTGATTTTAGAGATAACTATGGGGCCTCAGGGTAAATTTATTAGCAGGTGTAATAGCCAAGGGATAATGACATAGACACACAAACATACACTTATCAATCTCTGTATCTGACCTCTTGTTATCTGCTTTAAAAGTGGCTGACAGATTTCTATGATTCCCTTTCATTCTGATCTTTGCCTGACATTAAAAGGCCATTAAAATACATATCAGGCCAGCTAAGAAAGTAATGTTGGGACAGACTAACACAAAAGGAAATTACTGACATTTTGGTCAGAAGTTAGCTGTGCTATATTTTCTGTATTTATATCATGAGGCTAAAATTTAAATCAGAACAGCAAAAATAAAATATCTAAATTTGTTGCAAAACAAAAATGCATTTGAAATTTTTAAACATGTATACATATACAGTATATATATATAAATACAGTATATATATATATATATATATATATATATGTAGTGTGGCTCTAACAGAGAGGACTCATGAATTCACTCTGAATATTTCTGCTGCACAGAAAATGAATTGATTTCTGGGTCACTATTGAGTATTTTCTTTAATAATGGATGTACTGTAAGTGATTAAACTTGTTATGGCATGTGAGACAATGAGAATGAATATAAACTTGATTGTCCTAAAATCTAATTTGCATAAGGAGGTGGATCACATTTACATCCAATTGGTAATTTACTTACATGTTTTGACATTCAAACCCCAACCTGCTTAATCATCTGGATTTAGTCATATTTACTCAATAAAAAAGGGGTGTTTGTCACTACTGTGGTAAACTTACATCAATGAATGGTTGTGTAATATACTTTAGAATTTTAAATTGCTTCTTAAAACCTATTTTGTCAAAGTTTAGGTTGATAAATAAGTTTAAAGAGCATTTTCAACATATTTCTGCTCGAGATCAGTGTGCTATGTGGGCAAAAAAATATGCTCAACACTGAAATGCTATGTAGCAGACAAGCTGTTTATGCATACGATGTGAATACTATAACCCTGTTCATATGGGAAATAAATATGGGCAGTCAGAAACAGTTCTCGTTTTGTACTCATTTATTGACGAGATGGCTGCGGTGCGGCCAACTGAAAAGCGCTGCTTCTCTGCCGCTCACTGCACAGAACAGACGCCGAGAGAGGTGAAACTTCTCCGGGAAAGTCAGACCTCGCGTTCGCGGGACAGCACTGGCGAAATCTTCCAACTGAACCATAGCTAAAGTTTATCCAAAAAAGTCGCTAGGTTTGTCAGTATGAATATTCTATGAAAAAAAACACTAAAAGGGTCTGAATGTTGCTAAATCTAGTGCTAAAGTTGCACTTGTGTGTGTGTGAGAAGAGGGAGCTGATGGCAGGGGGGGGTGGATATTTGTTGTGGTCAGTGTGGATAATGTGGATGAGTTCCCTTTCAGTCAGTCACGTTCTACGTTACGTCAGTCGTGACTGACGAATTGGGATCTCGCCCGAGAGCCCAATCACCTTCGAGTGTAAACTAAACAAGCCAATGACAGTTGGCGTGCGTGTTTCGCCACGCGCACCCCACCCCGCAGCGCGGGTATAAAAGGAGAGTGTGTGCAAACGCACATCAGCTTTTCGCTTCGGAGCCGAGCCTTCTCAGGAGAAATCTCTGCAAGTGTTTGGAAGAAACAGCTGGCGTTGGTGTTACGGCGCGTCAGCGGGGGTTGCCATTCAGTGCTGCTCATCTTCGGCGTGCTGCAGCTGCCATTCTGCGGTCTCGCCGCAACCTCCCCTGGGTGCTTCAGCGCTCTCTCTAAAAGAGTGTTTC